TCGTAGGCAGGTGAGCCGACCCTGTGAGGGGAGAACTTATTTATAGAGGCAGAGCAGGTTGGAAGATGGTTATTTGATTGTATTTATTGTTTTTAACCTCCTACGGGCTTTGAAATGTTACATAATTTTGAAACGACATTTTTTTAATCCATAAAACAAAAATATTTGGAAGAGATCGGTCTGTTAACTTTTGCAGGCCTACCTGCAAAATGAGGAGAAAATGACAGTCTGTACAACTTGACATGCTGCACTTTGTGTGGGACACAGTGGGACAAGAGAGAGAGGATTTGTCATGATGTTTATAGAGAACAAGATCAAGGAAAGAGCATCACGGACGAGTTCGCAGAGCACAAGCCTCGTCATATGTCCATCAATAGTGGTGAGTAGCTAGCTACTTATTTTTGAAGTGAACATGTGGGCCGCTGTGCCAGGTTTACTGAACCTTAGCTAATGATGGGGTACAGGCTCTGAGTTGAAATAGATAAAGCTGGTGTCAAAATGACCCGACCACTATCTGTGGTGCTGAACTGTTTTGAATTTGTGTTTTATAGCTGAATATTGAATAGTTTTCTTGGTTTGTTATACCTTATGTCCATTTGATGGACTTCAAAATAAAATACCGCTCTGTGGTGCTGAAGCTTGTAAGCCCTGCTGTTGCAGTGATGTGTATGTTGTATAAAATGTTATCATGAGCTTTATTATTTGGTATAAAGGGCCCGGTCATTTGCCCCGCCCCCGGCCCGGCTCTGATTTGTTCCGCTAGTGGTGTGAATTAATCTGCTGAGAGAAATCCACATAAATGAACTTTTGGCTCATCAAAAATACAGACTTGGATTCAGTGGTGGGCATTAGTCCGCTCACCTAACGCACTATAGGCAGAACTATATGCAGTATAGACTCTTCTTGTTTCCACGTGATAGATAAGAAATTAATATAAAAAATTGCCAGTTTGGCTTCATTTTTATGAATTTAGCTTTGAGTAGTTAGCAGGTATAGTAAATTTAAAAAAATGTTTGTAGTGATCAGATATTTCATGTCTCCAAAAATTGTGGTTTAAAGCAGTGGTTCCCAAACTTTTTATCTTCTGACCCAAAAAATATCCATGGCAAAAACTTGTGACCCCAAATATTACTGGTCTGAGTACACGAACTTCGTTAATAACCCTAAAAACACAGGCTTTTGACAATCGAAACAGCTTATAGACAAATATAAATACTTATTTATACTTTTTTGTGTTTTTGTAATAGTTATGGGGAAAATCTAACATCAGCAATTATTTTATGACCCTTTAAATAGATTTCTGGAGATTATCCAAGGTGCTTCTTGACCCATAATTGGGTCCCAAGCCCAACTTTGGGAACCAAAGTGCAGTGGTTCCCAAACTTTTCAGCTTTTGACCCACAAAATAACAGTAGCAGAGACCTGTGCCCCCAGTTATTTTTGTATGATACACATTTGTATCAGGTCAACTAAACATGGGCATAGTAACAATATTTTTATACTATATTTATCCATTTTAAATATACTAACCTCACTCCTTTGTAACAACTAAGGCAAAAATGTAATTAATTCTGAAAATCTTTTCAGGACCCCACCTTGATGTTTCGGGACCCCAGTTTGGGTCCCGACCCCAACTTTGGGAAACACTGGTTTAAAGGGCACACACGGAAACAAACTTGTGATCAACTCATCTTTTTAAAACATTACATGTTAATTATACATGATGGTTGTGTGACTGCTCTTTTTCCAACATCTTAACTAATAGATAATTAATAACAGGGAAAGTTGGACAATGTAGCCTAGAGAGAAGAAAGTTCTTATCTGCTAAAGAAACTTTTTGAACTTTAAATGATTAGAGTGTACTCCACCTGCCTACTTTCCTCAACAAATGCAGAACTTGTGCTTACTGTTGGAAAGATGCTGACAAAAATCAGCACAGTGACTTTCTGCTGACTGCTGCCTTGGCCTGAGTGATGGAGCCAGTATGACTGTTCAGCAACACAACATGACCTCCTTTAGATCTGTTACATAACAGCCAGGTAAAGCCAAATTTTATTTTTAAATAATTACTGCTTTAATTTTACAACAAAAATGACTGGATCACATCAAAACAGACAAGCAACACTTCCAAGTCTTCAACCTACTTGTATTTGCGTAATGTGCTTAAAGCTCAAACAATATGAAAGTCAGCTTTGCTCTCTGGTTTATACTTATAACAATCACAACATTTCATTAACCTGATAGGTTTGAAAAAATAAACCTGCTACAAAAACTGAGATGTCTAAACTGCCTGTCATTTTTTGATACGTTTTTTCGGATTATTCAAAAGTATGAGAGGAAATGCTCGAAAAAAGTTTTATCAAATCTAAAACGAAGATTAAAAGATAGAGTTAAAGAAACAACTACGCAATACGTAAAATAATCAGCTGAGAGGCAAAAAAACAGACAGACAGATGAAAAATAAAACAGGTGTGTGTTACAGTTTCTTTCTGTTCACCAGTTGCAGGACAAACAGCAAACATGCAGTTTGTCAGAAGGTGCTCGTTCAGGCAGGAAAACAACAGATGGCATTTTGTAAATAGTTTTTTTTTTTTTTTTTGGGGTTGGGGGTGCAAATCATGTACAGTATGTGTTTTTCTATTAAGACAGGAAATTATTCCTCCGCAGCAGGCTAATCAGAGACAGCAGAATATGTTTATGTCATCTTAATTTCTACTAATGATATAAATATATAGTTTATAACTAAACAAGTCTAAATGAGTTTTTAGACTTTTGTTTAGCATTTATTTAGCATTTACTCCTGAATCGTGATTTAAGAAATTCTGTTTGTAAGATATGAAGGCATAATGAGGGAGGGAGCCAAACTGATGCACCTTTATGGCCAGAGTGAAGGAATTCATTAAATCAAGTTGACACAAGTGGGAAATCAGAAAATAAAATAAAAGGCATGAAAATGACTTGCTAGTTATGCAGTTTTTTAAACTATGGTTCAAACAGTATATTATTGGTAATATAACCTCAAAACCTCTCTGAAAATGCAGCTGTCTCATTTGCTTAAAATGACATAAATTCTTCTAAGTTCTTTCAATGGGTTGTTTGAAAATAAAGATTCAAATTAAGTGAATGTTATGCTTATTACATAAAAATGGCAAGCTACACAAAAGGATCAAAACATTCCCTATTAGCTTGACTTGGATAAAAAAAATTTCACAAATTTCCAATTTTTCCAAACGAAAACGACTGCCTCCTGTCAGCCGAAGCAACAGCGTGCCTGCACCTGCTCTAATCCCTCAGCTGTGTTTGAGGGATCTTGTCTTGCCATTAAAATCACTGGAAACAGTCAGGATAAAAGCAGGTCAATCATACCGAAAAATGGATAAACACAGCTGCTTGGGTCTGAACTAATGCAAACACACATTCATGCACACAATTTGAGCAAACATTTGGATGCACTAAAGGTGTGTGTGCTATTTCAGGTCTGAGCTACAACTTACATGGAAAACAAACAGACTAAAAGCAGGACAAAGCCCCAGTGGAGTTCTGTTTATTTACACCTGGTAAATATTTTTTACATAGTGAAAAAGGAAAGTTTAAAAATTAACTCAAAAGCATTCTTGAGGAAAAGCAAGTTGTATGCTTTTCTGGCTCTCGCTGTTGGAACTTCAACTGCTTTACTGTTAATATTGCTTTAAACAAGACGCAACAATAAATTATTTAATTGAAAACCATGTACAACCTGAATTGTGTTTTTAATTAGATGGATTCAAATTGTAACTGAACAGTAGCAATATTAGTTTGTGTGAGACAACAAGCAAATAAACTCTTTAGAAAATATCCCCAACCCCAAAGACTTGGAAGAAGCACTTTTAGCAGAAACATCTGAAGGAAATTTTGTGACTGATTAACTAAATGTTAGATTCATTCTTGTATTTTAGACTTTTCTGATCATTGCAGCCATATGGTTAAAAATAGAGAATGAGAGAGTGTGTCTGATCATACTGTATGTGTTCTTCCTGTTTGAATTTTAAAAAGTTGATTATGTTCTAATGTCTGACGTAAAAGGTAGCACCTCCAGCAGTATGACCAGGAAGTCAGAAACATACGTTAAGAGGTTGATTTTTAGCGATCTTTTTATAGGCTGGTTAGGGATGTTTTAAACAAGCCATATTGTTACACATCTTTCACATGTATGACGTTCAAATTTCGTGCAGCTAGCACTTTCCTTTCACAAGTTATGATGAAAATTAATCTTAAAAAGCACGTTGCTTCCTGCCTGACTCGATCAAGCTACTCCCCGATTCCTCCTCAAACCCCACCGTCAATCTGACCAATCACGTCTCTTGGGCCATCTCCGCCCACATCGAAACCTCCGCCAATCAGGACGTCTCCGCCCACAGGAAAAAAACCTACTGCAGAGACCCCTTACTCTACATATGCGACATTTTTGGGAAATTGTAGTCTGTGATTTTATTACTTTCTTTTACTACTTTGGTGATTTTACTACTACTTATATGTCTTGTTGTCTTCTTCGTCGTCGTCTTTTTGCCAGTAGAAACATACAGTTGTTGATCATGTGACTCCCCTGATGCGAAACGTGTTTCCATTGCGGTTTTACGAAATACACCAATTTTGACACGACCGAAAAACCACCTTATCCTAGCGCAAAACCATCTTGTTGAACAGCGTAAGTTTTTGCGTAACTGGACTGTTTCCATTAAGCAAATTTATTTTCGAAATTCTAATTTGCACATTTTCATAATCAATGGAAACACAGCTAGAGATTGAGAATAAAGTTTTTAGAAGCTAACTAACTGGATTTCTGCTATTTTATTCAGATTTTATTTATTGATCATGTTTTCATTCCACGTGGGTAGAAAGATGGTGCAATAACCACAGGTTCACTAATTCAAGCCTTGCTGCAGATTTGTGGGGTTGGACTAAATCATTAATTAGAGTAAATAGAACTGAACAAGATTATTTAAATGAGGATGTTTCCACAGATTCTTTCTTGCTCCAGTGATGTCCATGGTGAGTTCACTAAAAGTGTAAAGCCATTAAATGTTAACTATTGTTCCTGTCAATGCCAGTTTAATTCTGCTCTTCTCTAAGGCTGATTTCTCTGTTTTGGCAGTCGGCCACTTAATACAAAGCATTTCTGAACAGACCTACAACGCAGCTGTATTAACAGGAACAGAGCCTCGCTGAGTGATGGGTTCAAGAGGAGTCCATGACATGAGACTGCAAACAGCCCCATTAAGCACTTAGTTTTGTTATCATTTATTTATTAAAGGATAACATCTTGAAAATCTGATACATTACTAATCCTGCAACAAAGCTGTAATGTAAACTTTTCAATCACCGCACAAGAAAATACAAAACAGAAATACAACATGCCTATTTGTCAGCTTGTTCCAATTACTGTGAAGTCCTTGGGCCATGAAACATTTTCCCTAAAAAAGGAAAAAAAAAAACATAACGCCAGATTTTAGGTAAAACTTCTTACTTAAGCATGGCTACAAAGTTCCTCTGATCCCAAACTGACATGACATCACTTCAACAAGTAGAAAACAAATTTTCAGGAAACATTCAACTTCTACAGCAGTCCATGTGGAAAACAGAAACATGGTACGAGGGGTGTTATTTGACCTGTGAGTGTTTGCATGTTTGTCTAACATCCAACCAAAAACCGTATCAGTGACAGTCCTGAAAATGCAGAACAAAAGATGGGTCGCATCCTGTGATATCCTCTGCTGAGTTAAAGGAAAACCGGCATTCACATACTTCTCATCCTGCGACAAAAGTCCAGTACATGTTACAAGACACAACGCACATCTGATAGAGTATCTCTGTTTGACTCCCACCAGATACATCCTCAGTGGAAATTGTGTGTTTATGTGTGTGCGTGTGTGTGTGCCCTCGTTTTTGCTACTTGGTGGGGACGATTTTTCAGGAAAATGCAGCCTCGTGGGGACTGGAGTTTAGGTTAGTTTTATGGTCAGGTATGTACCTGTGAGATTAGGGTAAATGGTCAGGGTTAGGATAAAAAATTTTCAAAAAAATGAATGGAAGTCAATGGAAAGACCCCACAAGGATAGAGATACATAAGAATACAAACATGTTCTTGCATGCGGCCCATTGTGTTTGTGTGTGTGTGTGTGTGTGTGTGTGTGTGTGTGTGTGTGTGTGTGTGTGTGTGTGTGTGTGTGTGTGTGT